CACACGTCTTTGCTCCAATGTAAGGACACCATTGTCTCGTGACCTTGCCAGATTATGGCCTAGACTTTCGACCAGAAGGATTATCCAAAATAAACCTTATTTACAAGGTGCTTTGCTTCAGTAACAAAAATGTTCTAATAAAAGGCTGCTCAGGAACCTACAATAATCTTTCTGCTTAAGCAAAACTATATCCCTATTCATTACGATCTAAAATCTATATTGGCTGAGACAATCCACTATTGGACAGCAAAGGTCTTAGTACAAACATCCAGCAGTCCTAAATTGTCATACCTACAGCTAGCTTCCCTATTTAATAAAATAATTAATTGGATAATAAGCATGGTTAGACCACCATAGCTTTTTAAATTATTTACATTTTATTCCTTCATTTGTGTGTGTGTGTGCACATGAATGTGTGTATACTCAATGTACTTCATTGCATGTGTGAAAGTCAGTAGACAACAGGCAAGAGTTGATTTTCTGCCTCTACCCTGTCGGTAGAATAGAACTCAAGTTGTGGGGTACGTTGGCAAGCATGCACACTCAACTGAGCCTTCTCAGCTATCCCTGACCACTATTCACTTAAAAATTAGACTATGTGCTTGTCAGCACCAAATGTTTTCTTTTCCTATTTCTCTTCAGCCAAACTGTTAAAAGACAATCCTTAACCGCAGCAGTCTTTTACGGCAAGTGGTGCCCACCTCTGCCTCCAGAACTCCAGTCCAAACAGTCTGCTTAGGACTGCTGAGGAAGCAGAAGAATGTGCTTGTGACTCAGCCTGGTAAGTAGGAGGACTGTCATTGTTATTTTAACTCCTGGTAGAAGATGTGGGCAACTCTTTCTTTCCTTGTCCCCAGATAACTAAGTAGAGATCCTTCTTTAAAACCTCAGCCAGGCTTAGGTCTTGATCAATAAGAGCAGAGTACAATAGGTTTTGGTAAACCTATTGTCCATTAGACATCCTAAAGTTACCAGTCAAATTTATTTTTAGAATGCATAATCTACCTTGAAAACTGTCTCCATAGAATGCGTGAGCAACCTTTGTGAGGTAGTGATCAGTGCAAGCCAAGGTACTTATTTTCAGAGAAGATGACAAAAATACCAGGTTCTCATTCTCCTTTTGTTAGCTGTTGGCACATAGTGGCCCTATTGTTTGTTTTTCTGTTGCCAAGTATTCTCAACAATATAAACAGTCATCAAGTGAAGATCCTAGTTGTAAAACTAAAAACATCAACCTCTTATACAATTTTTAGAAGATAAACTCCCTTCAATGAAGAAAAAATATAAATTTTCAGAAGGAATGTACAATCTAAGTTATGTTGAATTGTGGCAGATAGTAATATTTATTTAGGTAAAAAGACTTAAAGAACAATACATATTTTTTATTCTTTAAATATTTTTTTCTCATGTCCATCTATCTAGTTTATTTCTAACTTGTCTATGTATTTTGGGACTTTTTGTATCATAAATCAAGATTTAAGATAATAAAATCAACAATTAAGTTTTTCACAATATATAAAATCATAAAAATTAAGGCTTGAAACCAGGAAAGTTCTTGAACACTGAAAAAGCAATGGGTTCTTCTAAGGCACATAAAGGAATGTTCTTAGAGCTACCAACCATTGCTGATGTGCATTGTGGGTAACCTATGGACAGAGCATCTACCTACCATGGTTCTCCGGAACCCTCGTATATCCACTTCTCCTTCAACAAGTGAGAGCTCACTTGGGAGGTGGTGGCCTACGTGGTAGTGAAACAGCCTAGAACATTATATCACTTCTGCCATCAGAGGGAGGAGACAATGTTGAGACAATGTTGGGGGGATGGTGCAGAGGATGACAATCCTGTACCACTTTGTTGGCCACGACAGGAGTGAGAAATTCAAAGTATGAGGTGACTGTTGGCATATTTGGAACAGGGAAGTCCTGTCAATCAAGGATTTTGGAACTGACTTTCTGTGCAGACAACAGATTATGGGAATGCAAGACCAATGACTTTTAATTATATAGGTAAAGATGATGAGACTTGATAATAGTTTGGACACTTACAAGTCCTGTTATGCTCTCCCATGGGCTTAGATAAGTCAAGTCATGTGCCTCTAACAGGTGGGGGAAGTTAGCGGCAAGACGATTTTCAGAGTGATTAAGAGAGTATTGTACTACCCAGTGAGCTTTGTGGGAAAAGAGATGCTGATCTCATAGGCATCAGTAAGATGAACTTCAGGGACAAAGATTTACATTTACATTTAGGATTGCATGCAGTAGGTTGGAAATGGTGAATTTCAAATGTCATGCAATATAGTAATTAGCAACATTAGTAAACAACTCAAAGGATGCTCTTTCCTAAACATTTCCCCTGTGATTATCCATTCTGTATAATTCACTTGGTGGAGTTAGTGCTATCAAAGGTGCTCACATGGTATTGAAGAACACACACAAGTAGGAATACATACCCACAATAGTCACTAAGGCAGCAACACTGAAGGAATGTTCATATTTTCTATTTTCTCAGTTTAGATAAATATTGTCTCTTCTTGATGGCTTAACATTTGCCCCCAGTACACATAAAAGGATCCTCATAAATACTGGTGGGATAAATTAAACTTCCATGTACGTGTCAGCAAATTCTAGAATTAACTGACCACTTAAAAATGATCTTTATTAGAACTCCTCCCACGATTTTTAAGGGAATGTAAGTAATTAGCAACCAAATTTTTTTTCTTTTAAGTATATTAAATTTCATTTGTAGTGTTCATACTACTTTTGGGAATAGTCAGACTTTCATCTATGGTGAAATAAAACCTATGTTGATTATTATATTATGACAGAACAGTGAAAATCATGGATCCCAGTAGATTAGCAAAATCCTTACATGCCAATTAAAAGATGTGTTTCCAGCTGGGAAAAAAATGAAACATAAAAAGGTTTGGCATACTATCATATTCAGAGAATGTCAGCTCACTTGGACACAAATTCCAATTAGGTTTTATAAGACATACTGAAGTCATCATAGCATTGAATCTTTAAAGAGCTGAGAGATACTTAGATGCAATAATAAGCACCAGAGATTATTGTGTAAGACAATAACCATGGTAACAGCTGGAATGAGCCAAACCAATCTCGTGTGCCAGTGTGGATGCATCTAAATACAACAGTGACTGAAAGTGACCCACAAAGGGACACCTGCAGGGTGACAATAGCTCAGGTGCCACTATGCTGTGTCTGTTTGCCACGTAGTAGGACACACAGAGGACACTATGTACCTTTAGAATTCTGATACTCACTGGGAGGGAATCAGGAGCGTGAGAAGAAAGCAAAAAACTCCTTTTCTCCCGAGATGGCTTATTCAGACGAGTTTAAGATAGCCACAGTGAGAGGCGGTTTGATCTGTGTGTCAGATCTTAGGTAGTTACCATAATGTTGAGACTTTCCCAATGAAAACATTATACATTTCCCCCCTCAAAAATAAAGAATTAATGAGAGAAATAAAATGAACATTGTCGTGGCCAATTATAGATAGTATATTCAATACCTTTAATACAAACAATTTAAACTAATATTCATTTTCTGTAATGAGATATCACTCCTTTGCAATCTCTGTATAATTTTATTCTGCCTTTCCTGTAAAGTTACTAGTTAAAAGGTGAAAAGTAAAAGGAAACATAGTTTCTATTTGCAAACTGAGTTAAAGTGCTCATTTATTTATTCATGCAGTTACTGGATATGTAACAGGTGCACACATACAGTGAGATTGGGCCTGCTGTGCATTGACTGTGTTTTCAGTAAATGTCAATTTTGTAGTGGCATTTCATTTGTATTTTAATATACAGAGCTTGCCTGAAGTTCAGAAAGTGAAACAGCCCCACTAGTCAGACTTATAAATCAGGCAGTGGCGACACATACCTTTAATCTCAATAGCCACATTAGTTTGCCATAGAAACTGGGTGGTAGTGGTGCACACCTTTAATCTCAGCACTAGAGAGGAATATAAAATGGGAGGAGTCAGCTCTCACACACAGTCTCATTCTGAGATTTGTGGAGGCAGGATTGCCCCATTTTGGTGCGAGCTACAGGTAAGAGGTAGTGGTTGGCTGCTTTGCTTTTCTGATCTTCCATACCTGTCTCTGGATTTTTATTATTCATGCTACAACTTTTTCTTATATAAACCAAGATGGAATTTATGCAAACCTATGAGAATTCTAATTCTTGGGCATTTTTTCCTCAAGCAACTATTCCCAGGTCACCACCAAGGTTGGGGTTCTTTCTCCTATGTGCAGTTTTTGGCTTCCTGCTCCCACGTGCACAGTTTGGTGAACTCTGCCTCCTGTCCATTTGTCTCAGTCCTCTAATCTGTGAAGTGGACATCACTTATTACCTACCTCACAGAGTACCTACCTCATAGAACTGACATAAAGAAATAAATGCATTAATTTATGTAAAGTCATATGAAAACAAGTTTAGTACATGGTAAGTGCAGAGGATATATTATTGTTATGGTTAGCCATAGCAGAAGAGAGGGGCTTACATCAATCCTCATTTCAAAGAAAAATCTATTCATTTAGTCAGTCTAAAAACTATGAAGAGATTTTTTAAAAACATAGTGTTTTTATTAATTATTTGGAAATTTCACATCATGCACCCTGATCACTTCCCAGTCCTCCCAGGTCCATCTCCCACCCTTGTGACTTTCCCTAAAACAAATGAAGAAGAAAAAAAGAAAAAAATGCCAAGTCCAATTTGTGTTGCCCATATTCTTAGCGGGGCATGGTCAGACTCGCAGTGTCCAGCCCCTCAGCCCTGTCAGAAGTCTCAACTGTGAAGAGCTACATGTGAAGTGATATTTTATAATTCCCAGTCCTGTGAAATTCAAAATGCTATTTCTACCTTAAAAATAAACTGGCATTTAATTAAAAATAAAAAACCCCTTATGGTTAGCAAAGAAGTGAACTGTTTTTTACAATAGCGGGTCACTCTTTTACTGTCGAGAGAATATGATCTTACCTATTCAAGGAAGTTGTGAAGTAGTGATGTTTGTTGTGTTCTCAAAGGACTGATGGTATGTTCTGGCTTCTTTCTCTTAAAATAATGAGGAGAAAATTTATGAATTAATTTCTGACCCACACATGTCAACCGCATCAATGTGAAACAGCTCAAAACTTTCTCTGTGGAATTTGGGTAACTATGAGATTGCAATATTGATTTCCTAAGGTCTAATCTTCATCGTCTTAGCATTGGTGACCTGCTGGGCACTAGCTCAGCCAATCGAAACAGAGCAGTGAGTAGGTAAACTACTGAACGCTTTTCTTACCTTTTCCTACCTATCTTAACAATGCTTAAGAGTAATATCCAAGGAAGAGTAAAATTTTAAATTGTTCTCCACTCATAAAGTGCAGAAGATTGTGTAATCTCCCCAAATAATATATTCATAATTATTAACTATATCTAGCAACATGATTGTGTAATCTCCCAAATAATATATTCATAATTATTAATTATATCCAGCAAGCTTAAAAAAGACTGGGCCTTTAGCCCAGTCTGCATTGACTTTATGAAGCACAGGATGGAGCGGGATTTTTAAACAACTAAATACATAGAGTATTTACATAAGTACATAGATACGTAAGTACATAGAGTACTAAATTTACTTTGACATTCCAAAACCCGAAAGTCACTCTGGATTAACAATTCTGCTAAAAAAAAAAAAATGTCACCGAGAGTCATATGGAATACTCCCCATTGAAGTGGTTCCTGGAAATAAACAGAATTACTGGAAGGCACCTGGCTGGTTTTCTACCTTACAGGCTGGCCAGGTGCATCCACTCTCATCTGTGGCAAGACTACACAGACCTACCGTGTGTGTAAATCCCCTGTCAAATCCAGCTCTTACACAATGGTTTCTAAAGACTACACAAACCTACAGTGCGTGTGAGTCCCCTGTCAAATCCAGCTCTTACAGAATGGTTTCTAAAGCGGCGTGTGCGTTTCCCTCAGGACTGATGTGTTTCTTCCCAATAGATACACCCTATCTTATTTTCAAGGATGATGATACGGTATCATTAAAAAATTTGAAACCTAAATGGAAAGCCTCTATATATCTTTAGAATTCAGAAGAAAATTCAAACAGAAGATATGGATGAACTGATTCTTCTTTTATCTATTCTGGAATTTTTTGTTTAGATTATGATGCTAGATATCAAAGATAGGGAGGGCCTTAGGCATGAAAAATGCTCTACCACCAGCATATGAACCCAGCCACATTTTGGACTTTTAAACACTAAATTCATGTATAATGTAGGAGGAGATAAGACTGTGATTCAAAGCAATACATATTGATTATATTTGGTGTTTCTTTTGTATTTGCTCATTTGATCTGTGGTCACCAACAATGCGGAAGAGCAAGTATGATGGATCCTTAACATCTAAGTAACTATAAAGAAAGTTTCACAGCCAAAAAGACACATGGTAAAATTTCACATCCCTGGTAATAATTCAGTAATTATTTTAGCAAAATGATTGCTGAAATATTGCACACAGCTTTTTGTTCCTTTATAGAAATTTCTGGATTGTCTATGGACAAAAACTGTGTGCAAACATTTTAGCAAACAGTCTTGCACATCTATCTGTCTGTCTGTCTATCTATGTATCTATCTATGTATCTATGTATATATGTATGTATGTATGTATGTATGTATGTATGTATCTATCTATCTATCTATCTATCATCTGTCTGCCTGTCTCTCTCTCTCTCTCTCTCTAATCTATCTATCTATCTGTCTGTCTGTCTGTCTATCTATCTATCTATCTATCTATCTATCTATCTCATAAGGGGCATCAAATTCAATGGCCAATGTTCAGTTAGTTTCCTAGAGATATGTCAACTTTTATTCCATAACCAAAGTGAAGATTAACAAAGCTTTTATTCTTTTTTCATGGATATTTGTTAGTTTTAATATCAGATACATCCCATAGGGTGGAATGTAAAACAATATTAGCAGATATTTATCGATTTATTTTTCAATGTTCTGAGTGCTTCATATATATGAATTTATTCTCAGCATCTCCCTTTGATTATCATATTCCCACTCTACAGATGAGAAAACAGGCCAAGGTAGGTCAAGTGCCAGTTCCAGGAATGCACTTAGAAAGTGGCTACCAGCTCTTAAGAGACACAGGGTAGTGGTCTTAAGTTTCCGTCTCTGGTGAAGGACAATATCAAGTATAAAGGCTTGTGGCTCTTCTGAGAAGTGCAATTTCACCCAGGTCAGCTTCCAATTTACTAGAAATATTACCCACATTTATTGTCCAGGATACTCAATTTCTTGAGCAAACGATCTACTCCACTGCAGCTCTGCCTCTTGTTTGCTCTATTTCGTCTATTGGATTTGCTCTGTCACCTTCCATGGCTACTGTTGAGGATCGTTGTGGCTAAGCCCTGATACAGTGAACTGGTAAACAATTACTTAAAGGCCAGTATGGACAAGTTCAACAGAACTGCCATATATGGCTGCCCATGCATGCTTTTTTTTCCCTTTCATGCGCAAGGTAGAGAAGAGGGTATATGCTTTACTTCGCATCAGATGGTAAAGGGGATACAAGATTTAAGAAGGAAGCCAAGATAATTATCTAAATGAGTTTCCAGATGGGGCAATCATGTCTAAGGTGTGCGTCTGTGTATCCATCTGCACATGGGTACTCAAGAGCATGGCGGCTACTGGTTCAACTGTCTTTCTGCATTGCTCTGGAGTGTGGTTTTTTGAGGCAGGGTCTCCCACTAAATCCAGTGCTCACTGATTCAGCAAGACTTGCTGACAGAAAAGTCCAAGGATCCTCTTGTATCCACATATACATACCTGGTGGTCTAGCATGAATGATAAATGCCCCATATGTATTTGAACATTTAGTTATAAGCTGATAGTACTGCTTGTGGAGGTTATGGGAACCTTGGGAGGTGTGCCTTGCTGAAGTAAGTCTCTGGGGGTAGGCATAGAGGGTTTGTAGTCTAATCTCACTCCTTATTTCTCTCTCTCTCTCTCTATACACACGCACACACACACACACACACACGCACACACATATATATATATATCATCTATCTTTATCTACCTATCTATATTTGTCTGTCTATAATATCTATCTATCTATCTATCTATCTATCTATCTATCTATCTATCTATCTATCTATCCATCCATCTATCTGTTTCCTGTGTGTAGATGGAAATGTGTTCATCCAGTTTTAGGTTTCAGGCTACTGATACTTTACCTTCCCTGTAATTATTGATTTAATTTTTCAATAAGACAAAACAAACCCCTTTCTTCTTATTACAGCAAAAGAAGAGTGATTAATATGCCTGTCTTCTTACACGGGTGCTTGGGATTGAACTTGACTCCGCAAGCTTTTGGGATAACCACTGTCCCATCTCAGCCCTTTTTTTTTTTTCAGTTCCCTGAACTAACTGATCAGGCATATTTCTGTTTGAATGTACATCATGTATAACATTAAAGTTAGAATAAGAAATTAGAATAACATGAAAAAATAATGCCAAGGTGAGATTTTCCCCAAAGATGTGTCTCATAAAAAAATTTTCCCTATTGAGCTAGATTGTACTACTCATTTACCTTGGAAACTCATTCCCCTCTAAGTATCATTTAGTTATTTAATTTTCTGTTTTGATACACAAGCAAAACAGAGATGGTTGAAGCTGCTGGAGAAACTAAGTGTAGTTGCTGAAACCTTATTGTAATTACAACCACTAGCATTAGGCCATTCCATCAACACAAAAATGAACAACAGCATTGTTGCCCTCCCATTTACCAATCTTACGTGGGTTTTTTGTATTTAAATTGCTTTCTTTTTTTCTTTTTTCAAAGTTTATTAAATTATGAAAGTTTCCATTTCCGCCCCTCCTCCCAACACCCTCCCACTCCCCCCTCCTCCTCCCTCTCCATTCCTAAGAGCAGTCAGGGCTTCCAGCCCTGTGGGAAGTTCAAGTTCCTCTCCCCTCCCTCCAGGTCCAGGAAGGTGAGTATCCAAACAGACTGGATCCCAAAAATCCAGTATATGCAGAGGAAACAAGTCCCATTGTCATTGTCAATGGCTTTTAGTTCGTGTAACTCAGTGTACTCATCAAAATCTAAAGATTTTAGCTACTGAGGACTGGACTACTGATGCATTAAGGAAAAACTCTAGTATTTTGAGTAGTTCTTAAATAGACAGGCAGCTATTAACATTGTCATGTAGTTTACCAAGCTACCAAATCATGCCTGCTCCCTAATATATTTAGAATCACTTATTATCTGTATATTTGTAAGTACAAAAAAGTGTGCTGAACTCAAGTCATCAACAGTTGAGACATCTCTCGGAGTTATTGTGAAAGTAGTTTTTCAAACATGTTTGTTTCAAATGGAATATAAATCAAACATACACTTGAAAGAAATAAGAACTGTTAATAAAATCTATATTCACAAAACTTCTGGTCTTCATCTGAGCAGACTCAAGATACGGTGGTTAATAAGCACCGTGTCATTTTATTCTCAAACCTGACACTGCAGGCTAGGGCTAAAAGTTGGGCTAAGCTGCCTCAGGAGAGGTGATTTATGTTTGTCTAAAGTATCTTGACATAATATTGTACAAGGTAAAGTATCAAGGACTGGATTACTGAGGAAAGCTCATCTTGACTAGAGATGTTTGTAGAATTAAGGTTAATAATCAGTTCACATTGTGAGGGATAGAGAAGTCTTCCAGTCACTTCTTTTTCATGCACTGACCATGATCTCTGACTGCTTTTTTTGTGACCTACAGGCTTTTGAAAGTACACAAGAAGAGCAAGAGGAAAAGATACACACATCATCATCTCACGCTTCGGTGGGCTGAATGTGGTTTTGTTTCTATGCAAGCAGCTGAGGATACATGGCTATTCTTTGAACAGGAGACATCTCAATTCCCAGCGCAAATGAAGCATCATGATGGTTCAGTAGTTACTGTCAAGGCCCTTTATTATTGTAAAGGATAGATAGGCAATGATAACATTCATAAAGTAAACTTATATATTCCCTAAATTGTTAACATATTCAGACGC